TCGGGCGATCGAATAAATCGGCGTCAACGTTAACATTTCGGAGCATTTATGTTAATTGCGCTGCTTCATCGGGGACACGTATTACAGAGTGAAATCGGCCGTGCACCTGTGCCTGTGATCGCTCGGCGGAACAGACGCCGGTCGCCCATGGTAAAGGAGAACCGTCGAAGAACGACAATACGGCCCCATTACGGGATAATTTATCATTTAAAAGTGGCTTGTTTTTGCGCGGCATCCTCGGCAAGCTGCGACAGCCCCGTAATTAACTTTCTTACGTGAAAAGACCCCTTGACCCGTTTCCATCTCATGCGGAACCGAATCTCGTCTTATTGTTAGCTCCCGCGCGACCACCTAAAAACCTGTTTTCGTTCCTCGAATCGATACATCGATCGGCATCGCGCATTTTTTTTGGGAGAACGATAGTTTTTCTACAGCGAGCTTCGTTAACCCTCGGACGGCCGCGCGAAGAACCTCAAAAATTTCATCGAATTAAGGTACTTTGTTCGATTTAATTAAAATTCCAAAGCAGTTATACGATAGCAATTACTTTTTAACATTCTCATCTCTTGCGAATCTTGATAAAATTACGAATTATTATAAGTTAATTATTATCTTGATTAATAATTATTATACACTAATTTATTATACAATATTCATGCGTTATACAATAATTATTATACCCAGGCAGTCAAAGTGTTATAATAGTGTTCTTGTTGTACACGTTTTTAACAGTGCAATCATGATACGCTTTTTTAATCATGTGATCATGATACATTTTTTACAAACAAACTGGACTGAATTGGTATTTACATTTTAATTTTACATTTTACATTTTAATTATTTATGTGATAACGGCCGTCAAAGTGTTAAAATCGCTTAAAATTGTTTAACTCCTCAACACCAGAGTCGAATAATGATACCTGGTCGTGCCCGAAATAATTTAATTTGTAATAATTTAATAATATAAGTTTAATATATATTATAATAATATAAGTTATAATAATAATAAGAAGAAGAAGAAGAATATTTATTGACAAATAAACGTGGCAAACTCCTTTGTTACTCCTAAGTTTAATATATATTATAATAATATAACTTATAATAATAAGAAGAAGAAGAATATTTATTGACACATAAACGTGGCAAACTCCTTTGTTATTCCTAAGTTTAATATATATTATAATAATATAACTTATATAATAATAATAAGAAGAAGAAGAAGAATATTTATTGACACATAAACGTGGCAAACTCCTTTGTTATTCCTAAGTTTAATATATATTATAATAATATAACTTATATAATAATAATAAGAAGAAGAAGAAGAATATTTATTGACACATAAACGTGGCAAACTCCTTTGTTATAGAAAGTTTAAGAAGATTTGAAAACAATAGAAAGAAAGAAAGAAAAGAAATAGGAAAGTAAAGGATTGAGAAAATATACAAAAGGGGAACGTGATAGAAATGCTTCCTATAAATTGGGTTGTACTTGGAATGCATATCGAAAGTAAACATTTGTAGGACGGCGATATTACTAAAACAGCCGACGCATTGACTCATTAATAATGCAGCGTTTTATGGTGAAATTAATTGTCGGTCATTTCGTATTTGATTAATCACCGGTATTCGATTAATCATCGTCCCTGGGTCTTTAAATTAATTCCTAATTTCACAGGAGCCGTAGAACCACGATTGCAATGTTAACGAACGAAGTCGATCCGGACATTTGCACTATTTGATTGTGAGTAAATAATTTTGGATTGATAAATATTATGTTTAATTTAATTTATATTTCTTACTCCGAATATATAATAAAAATGTAAAAGTTAACAACATTATAATATCGCGGTTGTAAACGAATATTTTATTATTTAGAATTGCGTTTGACACAGAATATTTTATAAGTATATATTTAGTAATATTTTAGTAGTAAGTATACATTTTGTAAGAATAATTTAGACTGATTCGTTACAGAATAATTTGTTATCCAGGAGCAGGGGAACACCGGCATAGGAAAGTTAATACCTACAGCAAAAAATAAACACATTTTTGTCTGCTCTTTGCAACAGCGTTTCATTCACTATTGTATTGCAAGCTTACGTTGTTTAAGACAACGTGATAAATGATATTAACGCGACGAATAACTTCATAAATCGGAAAGCTCAATTTCATTCGTTGTTTATATCCAGGATCCTTTGTTTCGTTAAATTACTTTTGCTAACCATAAAATCGCTGTCGCCGGCCATAAATATCGCTTTTATAATATCCTCTGTGCATTATAAAAGTAGCGGAGCCGATCTAAATTAAAACGTTCAACGAGGAAATTCAGCAAAATGTTGTAAACAACTGTCTAAAATTAACTCCGAAGGGGGTGATATATAAAAAAAAAAGCTTATCTAATGTTATTATTAGTCCGCTGATGTGTTAAAGCACAATGAACCTCGCACGTCGCAATGGAACATGCATCAAAATAACCTTTCATGGAGCGATCATATTGCTTCGTATTTATGGAAACCTTTTGGCGAGGGAATCAGTTCCAATTGGAAATCACTCATTGGAAATTCGTTATCGGAAATTGATAATTCCAAAAACATTCGCTGCCTATGTTACTATATCGAATAAACGCTTTATCTAAAACGTATTTCTTTGCCACGTTGACAGCATACGAATTAACTAGACTGCAGTTCTTTCTGCACAAAAAGGAGCAAGAAATTTTTCATGTCAATTATCAAGAACAGAGACTAAACACAAATGTATCTCTTCTTCGCTAAATGATTTGAGTAAATTAAAACTAATGTGCGATAATAAAAACATATGTATGTACATTTATATGCATTTAGAACGTACA